CGTATTGTTCACAGGACAACGTGCTGAATGTCACTCAGCACAAAACTTAAAGAGAGAGAGAGAGAACAGAGAGAGAACAGAGAGAGAGAAGAGGGAGAGAACAGAGAGAGAACAGAGAGAGAACGGAGAGAGAACGGAGAGAGAGAAGATGTGCTTTGGCAACGTAAACATTCCCATGCCATTAAAGCCCTTTGAATTGAATTGAAGAGAGAAAGAGAGAGAGAGTAGAAGGAGTACATTCTTAGAAAAAAGGGTTCCGAAAGGGTTATTTGGCTGTCCCCATAGGAGAACCCTTTTTGGTTCCAGGTAGAACCCTTTTTGGTTCCAGGTAGAACCCTTTTTGGTTCCAGGTAGAACTATTTTGGGTTCCATGTAGAACCCTCTGTGTAAAGGGTTCTACATGGAACTGAAAAGGGTTCTACCTAGAACCCAAAAGGGTTCTTCAAAGGGTTATTCTATGGGGACAGCCGAAGAGCCCTTTTCGGTTCTAGATATAACCTTTTTTTCTAAGAGTGTAGCCTAGTGAACTGACTTGGTGCATGTTAGGTAATGTGAGCGGTGTTCCCTGTAAACAAACAATGAGGACACGCTGTAACTGGATCCTGGACAGGATGGGAACAGAATGGACTCCATGCCCAGAGAAGGCCACACACACACACAGCCTGGCCAAGAACCATGAAGAATCAATCAGGGGTCATGGCCAAAAGGTTTAAGACAGAAACTCAATCCCAGTAATGTGATCTCACACTACTTAGTATGAAGTGATGCAATAGCCATGCATACACCTAAGCCATGCATACTAAATAGTGTGCTAGTGTGAACTTTGAGACACCATCTTAGGCAACAGGAGGCAAGAAAAAATCATATAATAGATCTCATAGATTCTATAATAGAATCCTATAAATAATCATATGATAATGACATGTAAACTCAATTCATAACCATTAGTAAGGGGAAATGCCAAATTGAACAGTTCTGTTTGAAGTAAAGTCTACAGATTGTGTTTTTATAAGTTAACTACCTCACTCTTATTATCACTCTATTATTCATCTAGTATGTGGCTCTCTGAGCGCTCAGAATAACTGCTACACCCAGCTCTCAGCCCTTAGCAATAACATCACAGAGGAGAGGAGAAGAGAAGAGAAGAGAAGAGAAGAGAAGAGAAGAGAAGAGAAGATGGGAGGGGAGAAGAGAGGATAGGAGAAGATGGGAGTGGAGAGGAGAAGATGGGAGAGGAGAAGAGGATAGGAGAAGATGGGAGAGGAGAGGAGGATAGGAGAAGATGGGAGTGGAGAGGAGAAGATGGGAGAGGAGAAGAGGATAGGAGAAGATGGGAGAGGAGAGGAGAAGATGGGAGAGGAGAATAGAGGAGAGGAGAAGATAAGATGGGAGAGGAGAAGAGAAGATGGGGGAGTAGAAGAGAGGAGAGGAGAAGAGAAGATGGGAGAGGAGAAGAGAGGAGAGGAGAGGAGAGGAGAGGAGAAGAGAAGAGGGGGGAGAGGAGAGAATTAATAATGGTGAGGGAGAAGAAAGAGAAGGAGAAGAATAATCATAAAGGGATAGAGGGATGATGCTTGATCTTTTCTCCTGTGAGGGATTCAACCAGAGCTGTTAAAATCTGGGGTTTATATTAACTGGGCTGTCGTGACTGTCTGAGTCGGACTCCCATTCCTCCCTCCACCCCACTTTCCTGCTACATCCTCTCCTCTCAGCTCTCCTCTTCTCTCCTCCCTGCTACAACCGCTCCTTTCTGCTCATCTCTCCTCTTTCCTTACTCCCCCTCTTCTCCTCCCTCCCCTCCTCTCCTCTCCTCTCCTCCTCCCTGTCCTAGTCTATTCCCCTCTAACAATCGAGGGATTTCATGCAGAAACATGTTCTAAGAATCACTATTGAGCTTCCATGTTCCTGACGGTGGCTGTATATCTTTTCCATGTCCAGTTAGTTGTTCAGGTTACAGTGTGTGTTTTGGTTTTACTGTACAGATCTTGTTTCTCCTCTGGGATTAATCCCCCTCTTAAACCCAGCCGAAAAGAACAACCCTATTTATGGAACAAAATTCCCTTTTCTGCATTCCGCTGCACAGCACACACACACACACACACACACACACACACACACACACACACACACACACACACACACACACACACACACACACACACACACACACACACACACACACGTTCAGGAGTCTGTCCTCTCCCTGATTCACAGTGTCTACCCTCTGAGTGGTCCATTTTATTTGGATAAAGCATATACAGTGTGTTATAAACCCATGTGGGCTGGGCATCATGAAGATGCATGACACTATAATAAAATAAATCAGCACTGAGATATCACTGTATCGCTCAATCTCTCCCTCTCTCTTTCTCTGTCCTACTCTCTCTCCCTTCAGATTATATGAACGAGGCAGGATCAACGATAACAGTGTCAAAGAGCCCACCGCCAGTGGCACGTAGCCAAGCTCTAAGCTGGTTGTCCTTTGGGTGGTGGAACATTCTTGATACACATGGGAAACTGTTGAGTGTGAAAAACCCAGCAGCATTGCAGTTATTGACACAAACAGTCTATGTCATGGAAAGAGCAGGTGTTCCTAATGTTTAGTACACTTGAACAACACAGCAGATTTTCGGCATGTTTCGTTATTTATGTATAACAAAAAATCAACGACTAAGCTCTTTTACAATAGGGGTCAATGGGAAATAATGTTTTAAGGGCTTGTTTGAGGGGAATTCCATCTTATGACGTGAATATCTACTCGGAGTATGGGGACAGCCAAAGAACCCTTTTGGAAGCCTTTTTTCTAAGAGTGTATAGATCAGGGGGACACGATCAACTCAATCAATAAATAGTTGGTTGAAAGTTAATATTAACCAAGGAGTAATCTCCATATCGACATTGAACAGGCTTGAGACGTGATTCAGTTGTAGTTTAATTAGTTGTGTTTATTTCATATATTTTATTAGTTATTTCAGGCAGGGGTGTATTGTAGTAGGCAGAGTTGAGTGTGATGTAGGTTTTAGGGTCAGGATGTTAAGATGAATGGATGTGACCTGACATCTTGTGCCAAGAGCGCTGGCTGCTAATATGTCTGTGTCCATACAGCCATGAATTTGGTCTGCTATTAGCTTCTATGTGGGCATGTGCATTTGACTGCACGTGGCTTTGTGTGTTTACATGTGTGTGTCAGTGTGTAGTGTACTTTGATGGTCATTGCAGTATGCCTCAGGTTCTTAAATTGTGAGCGTATGTACACACACTCAGAACGTACACCAGGGGTCGGCAACAGGTGGCTCGTGGGACGTTTCCCCCCCAAAGTAAAACAAAAAAATATACACAGTGCGTTCGGAAAGTATTCAGGCCCCTTGACTTTTACATTACAGCCTCATTCTAAAATGGATTTTAAAAATAACTCTCATCAATCTACACACAATACCCCATAATGACAAAGCAAAAACAGATTTATTACAAATAAAAAACGGAAATATCACATTTAAATAAGTATTCAGACCATTTACTCAGTGCTTTGTTGAAGCACCTTTGGCAGCGATTACAGCCTAGTGTCTTCTTGGGTATGACACTACAAGCTTGGCACACCTGTATTTGGGGAGTTTCTCCCATTCTTCTCTGCAGATCCTCTCAAGCTCCGTCAGGTTGGATGGGGAGCGTCGCAGCACATCTATTTTCAGGTCTCTCCAGAGATGTTCAATCAGGTTCAAGTCCGGGCTCTGGCTGGGCCACTCAAGGACATTGAGAGACTTGTCCCGAAGCCACTCCTGCGTTGTCTTGGCTGTGTGCTTAGGGTCGTTGTCCTGTTGGAAGGTGAACCTTCGCCCCAGCCTGAGGTCCTGAGCGCTCTGGAGCAGGTTTTCATCAAGGATCTCTCTGTACTTTGCTCCGTTCATCTTTCCCTCGATCCTGACTAGTTTCACAGTCCCTGCCACTGAAAAACATTCCCACAGCATGATGCTGCCACCACCATGCTTCACCGTAGGGATGGTGCCAGGTTTCCTCCAGACGTGACGCTTGGCATTCAGGCCAACGAGTTCAATCTTGGTTTCATCAGACCAGAAAATATTTTTTCTCATTATCTGAGAGTCCTTTAGGTGCCTTTTTGCAAACTCCAAGCAGGCTGTCATGTGCCTTTTACTGAGGAGTTGCTTCCATCTGGCCACTCTACCATAAAGGCCTGATTGGTGGAGTGCTGCAGAGATGGTTGTCCTTCTGGAAGGTTCTCCCATCTCCACAGAGGAACTCTGGAGCTCTGTCAGAGTGACCATTGGGTTCTTCGTCCCCTCCCTGACCAAGGCCCTTCTCCCCCGATTGCTCAGTTTGGCCGTGCGGCCAGCTCTAGGAAAAGTATTGGTGGTTCCAAACTTCTTCCATTTAAGAATGATGGAGGCCACTGTGTTCTTGGGGATTTTCAATGCTGCAGACTTTTTTTGGTACCCTTCCCCAGATCTTTGCCTCGACACAATCCTGTCTCGGAGCTCTACGGACAATTCCTTTGACCTCATGGCTTGGTTTTTGCTCTGACATGCACTGTCAACTGTGGGACCTTATATAGACAGGTGTGTGCCTTTCCAAATCATGTTTACCACAGGTGGACTCCAATCAAGTTGTAGAAACATCTCAAGGATGATCAATGGAAAGAGGATGCACCTGAGCTCAATTTCGAGTCTCATAGCAAAGGGTCTGAATATTTATGTAAATAAGGTATTTCTATTTTTTTGCAAACATTTCTACAAACCTGTTTTTGCTTTGTCATTATGGGGAATTGTGTGTAGATTGATGAGGGGGGAAAAAACTATTTAATCCATTTTAGAATAAGGCTGTAATGTAACAAAATGTGTTTCCTGTCCCCAACAGGAAGTGATTCCGTCCTACCTGGCGACGTCACCCATTGTGTCCCAGGGGGCGGAGCTAATGGAAGCCCAGCTGGGGAGGGGCATGTCTCGCCTCTCTGACCCCGCCTCCCTCTCGGTCCAGACCCTGGGCTCCCAGCAGACCACAGGAGGAGGAGGGATGATGACGATGAAGAAGAGGAGGAAGAGGAGGAGGAAGGAGCGGGAGAGCGGAGGAGGGAGGCGGGAGGAGAGTGGGGAGTACTCAGAGGACGAGGACATGTTCACCATCGACATGAGCACTGATGAGGAGAGAGAGCAGGACAACACCACCAGCAGGTGATTACAGTAGATATAGTCTTTACATCAACACTATTTACACTAATCTACAACGTGTGTGTGTGTGTGTGTGTGTGTGTGTGTGTGTGTGTGTGTGTGTGTCCAGAACGTCTGTACAGACAGGGACGCATTTGGCAAGAGAGGCACACACACAGCCCGCCTCTGAGTTATCTGTTTACATTGGGCCCCAATTCCTGGAGAAACGACATTCCTACAGTGGCCTCTGCTACTACTTCTGTAACAGCGATCACATGCTGCAACAGATACAGATACTGTACTCACTGTGCTGCTTTCTATATTTCCCTCTGGCAGCCCAACCCTTACGAAGCCCAGGGTGACTCCAGGACGCAATGGGTGGAAAACGTGCTGTAATGTCATAATGAGTGGAATTCTGGGGCTGTTCTTGGAATTCTTGAGCAATAACAAACAGCTTGCTGAGTTTGGACAGTGTCACGCCTTGGCTCTGGGACTCTGTTATGTTGAGCCAGGGTGTGTGGTTTCTATGTGTTTTGTGTGCTAGGGTTATTATCTAGTTCTTTTGTTTCTATGTTGGCCGGTGTGGTTCTCAATCAGAGGCAACGTGTATCAGCTGTTGCTTGTTGTCTCTGATTGGGAACCATACTTAGGCAGCCTGTTTTCCACAGTGTGTTGTGGGATCTTGTTCCGTTTGGTTTGTGTAACCGTAGGACTTCACGTTTCGTATCGTTTGTTGTTTTGTTCGTGTGATCATAAAAAATAAAAATATGTTCGCATTCCACGCTGCGCCTTGGTCCTCTCAGTTCGACGATCGTGACAGAAGATCCCACCATAACTGGACCAAGCAGCGTGTCCAGGAGCCAATGCCAGAGGTGACTCTGAAGGATATCAACCTCGACTGGGTCAAGCCGCGGGAGGAGGAGAGAGGCTGGACTTTGGAGCAGAGGAGCGAGAGTCTGGCGAGAGCCATGGAGGCCTGGCCCACGGGGAGGAGAGACGGCCAGACATTTTTTAGGGGGGGGGCTCACGCCGTGGACGACGGGGCAGCAGGAGGCCGGGATAGAGTGGTTCAGCGGGTTGGCAAAGGAGGCCGCCAGGTTACGGGAGTCACTGGTCACCAGGGGGAAGGAGAATGTGGAGGCACGGCGAGAGGTACTGGGGTGTGTTGCCAGAACGGTCCGGCCCGTTCCTGATTCCCGGGTAGGGCCAGTGGTGTGTGTCCCCAGTACGGTCCGGCTTGTTCCTGTCCCTCGCACCGAGCCTGTGGTGCGCGTCACCAGCCCGGTCCGGCATGTTCCTGCCCCTCGCACCAAGCCTGTGGTGCGCGTCGTCAGCCCGGTCCGGCCTGTTCCTGCTCCCCGCACCAAGCCAGTGGTGCGCTTCGTCAGCCCGGTTCGGCCCGTCCCTGCTCCCCGCACCAAGCCAATGGTGCGCATCGTCAGCCCGGTCCGGCCTGTTCCTGCTCCCCGCACCAAGCCAGTGGTGCGCTTTGTCAGCCCGGTTCAGCCCGTCCCTGGTCCCCGCACCAAACCAGTGGTGCGCTTCGTCAGCCCGGTTCGGCCCGTCCCTGCTCCCCGCACCAAGCCAATGGTGCGCGTCGTCAGCCCGGTCCGGCCTGTTCCCGCTCCCCGCACCAAACCAGTGGTGCGCTTCGTCAGCCCGGTTCGGCCCGTCCCTGCTCCCCGCACCAAGCCAATGGTGCGCATCGTCAGCCCGGTCCGGCCTGTTCCTGCTCCCCGCACCAAGCCAGTGGTGCGCTTTGTCAGCCCGGTTCAGCCCGTCCCTGGTCCCCGCACCAAACCAGTGGTGCGCTTCGTCAGCCCGGTTCGGCCCGTCCCTGCTCCCCGCACCAAGCCAATGGTGCGCGTCGTCAGCCCGGTCCGGCCTGTTCCCGCTCCCCGCACCAAACCAGTGGTGCGCTTCGTCAGCCCGGTTCGGCCCGTCCCTGCTCCCCGCACCAAGCCAATGGTGCGCGTCGTCAGCCCGGTCCGGCCCGTCCCTGCTCCCCGCACCAAGCCTGTGGTGCGCGTCGTCAGTCCGGCACAGCCCGTGCCTGTTCCACCGGTGCCTGGTCCGGCACCGGTCAGCTGCTCCACTCCGGAGCTAGAGCAATCCGCTCCACCAGTGTTCAGTCCAGCTCCGGCCAGCAGGGCCAGACCGAACCAGGGGCGCTTTGGGGGGTTAGAGAGGGAGTGGGGGTCATGCCCGGAGCCGGAACCGCCTCCGAGGAGGAATGCCCACCCGGCCCTCCCCTGTTCGGTTTATGTTTGGCGCCTTTGGGGGGGGGGGGGTACTGTCACGCCCTGGCTCTGGGACTCTGTTATGTTGAGCCAGGGTGTGTGGTTTCTATGTGTTTTGTGTGCTAGGGTTATTATCAAGTTATTTTGTTTCTATGTTGGCCGGTGTGGTTCTCAATCAGAGGCAACGTGTATCAGCTGTTGCTTGTTGTCTCTGATTGGGAACCATACTTAGGCAGCCTGTTTTCCACAGTGTGTTGTGGGATCTTGTTCCGTTTGGTTTGTGTAACCGTAGGACTTCACGTTTCGTATCGTTTGTTGTTTTGTTCGTGTGATCATAAAAAATAAAAATATGTTCGCATTCCACGCTGCGCCTTGGTCCTCTCAGTTCGACGATCGTGACAGACAGGATGTGCAGAAATCAATCTGTGTGTGAAATAAATGTGGGGTATGCCAAGAGAGAGAGAGAGTGTGTGTGTGTGTGTGTGTGTGTGTGTTTATAGCCTAGTTGGTGACAGGTCAATGGTTGCATTGCCAGGCAGGCATCCATATATACAAGCAGATTATATAATTTCACTGCTGACAGGGGTAGAAGAAACATAGTAAATGTAAATCCGGGACACTCCAATTATTATCATATGTTGCATATCTCTTAGGCCTTAGGAAATGACAAAACCAGCAAAAGCCCTTTTTTTGCCAGACTGTCTCTGGTGAATCCTCACTGGGGTAATATAGAGCTTATGGGATTCCTGTAACACACAAACACAAACACACGTCCCTGTGCTGGTTGGGTGCTGGCTTAATAAGCCTGAAGGAACCAGCATCTGTCTAATGTGAACCCAATTCTCTGGTGTCTCTGTGTGTGTGTGTGTGTGTGTGTGTGTGTGTGTGAATGCCAGCTCTGTGTCCTCCGTGTTGGAAACGCTCCAGTAACTCCTTCTTTTCCCACAATGCTCTCTGTCTCTGTGGAGTAATGACCGTGGTGAACGGGGCCTCTCAGTCGGACCCTCCTTATTCTCTCTCATTCATCTGATGTGTGTGTTGTTGTTGCTAATCTCTCTCTCTCTCTCTCTCTCTCTCTCTCTCTCTCTCTCTATCTCTCTCTCTCTCTCTCTCTCTCTCTCTCTCTCTCTCTCTCTCTCTCTCTCTGTCTCTCTCTCTATTTGGCTTACTCTCTTTGTCTTTCTCGCTCTCTATCTCTATCTATTTCTCTCTCTCTCTCTCTCTCTGTCTCAGGACCTCTACTCCGGAGTTCTATGGAGAGCAGGGGCCTAAGGACAGTGTGTTGAGCAGCACCTACACCCAGAACAAAACATACACACGCCCTGACGCAGACTGGGCACACTCGCAGAGGTACATACATATGACCCAAACCACACACACGCACGCGCACACACACACACATGCACCCACAAGATCGAACAGAATAGAATAACCGACAGTTTGGTTGTTGTACTCATGCAGGATCTTGTAGAATGAAAGAACTGCGTATGGCTTACAGTTGTTCTCTCTGTATGTCTGTTTCTCCCCCCCTATCCCCATCTCTCTCTCCCTCCAGTGCTCTGATAGAGCATACTCTGTCTATCCCTCCTAGCGGTGGTCTGTCCATCTCCTGTCCACAGCAGACTTCTCTCTTCCCTTCTCCGATCAGGTAAGTTATACTATTTTATTTTGTATATATTTTTTTTTAAACTCTGCATCGTTGGGAAAGGTTCTGAAGCAAGCATTTCACTGCAAAGTCTACACCAGTTGTATTCGGCGCATGTGACAAATAACATTAGATTTGATTAGATTTTTAACTCACCATCCAATCTCACTTATCAGTATAGCTTCATTAAGTCTTAAAAGTTATCCTTTGTTTAATTTTAGACCAACTACATTATAGTCTAAAACCATGGTAACCAGCAGAGACTTTGTACTGTATTGTTGATGTTCATGAATCAGTGTAGTACTGGATCAACCAATCACATGTGTATGTTACCAAGCAGCCCAGGCGGCTCCAGCCCCTCCACTCCTAAGAGTGACTCGGAGCTGACCAATCAGAGCAAAGACAACCCTGAGATGCTGTGGGCCTGGGGAGAGCTGCCACATGCTGCCAAGGTACAGAGAGAGGGAGGGAGGTGGGGAGGGAGGGAGTGAGGGGTTGAAGGGAGGGAGGTGGGGACGAAGCGGGAGGGAGGGAAGGAAGGAAGGAGGGAGAGAGAGAGAGGGAAGAGAGGAATGGGAGGGAGGGAAATAGGGAGGGGAGACAGATCCAGATAGACAGAAAAAGAAAGAGACAGAACAGGAAAGAAAGGACACAAAAAGGGAGACATTATGTCCACACAGTGATCCAGAAATCAGGACTGATGTTGGCAGACTTTAATCTCTTTAATCATCTTCCATGAGAGCAGCTGAGAAACACGCTAATAATCTAGCACTCACGCTAACCACACATACTTTATCTCTCCTCTCTCTCTCCTCTCTCTCTCTCTCTCTCTCTCTCTCTCTCTCTGCTCTCTCTCTCTCTCTTCTCTTCTCTCTCTCTCCTCTCTCTCTCTCTCTCTCTCTCTCTCTCTCTTCTCTCTCTCTTCTCCTCTCTACACCCTACCTCCCCTCCCTTGCTCTGTCCTGGTCTGTCTTTCTCTCCCTCTCGCTCTCTTCTTTCTCCTCTCTCTTTCTCTTTCCCTCTCTCTCTCCTCCTCTAGCCCTCCTTCTTCCCTCCGTTCCAGATGCAAGATTCTTTGATGATGTCCCCTGTCACCATCCCTGTGTGTGACAGCACACACTTCAGGACCATCACTGGAGACGGTGTCCCCTCTGATCAGATCCAGACCCAGAGCCACACAGACAGCAGCCCCCCGTCCCTCACCCTGTACGTTCCCCAGCCTGGGGACAACACTACTGGGTCTGTGGCTAGGCCTGAGTCTGGGGCCAGGTCTGGTTTTGGGGCTGGGGCTGGAGGAGACATGGAGGTAGTATGGGTAGCCTGTAGAGAGGTGGAGGGGGAGGGGCTGGTGGCCTCCAGGTTGCTGTCAGAACTGGATGAGGGGGGCCACAGGGACAACACGGTCAGACACACAGACTCCCCATCTAAGAGGAAAGGTATGCAGCTCACAAGTCTGCTTCTTTAATGATCTGGTTTATTTCAGTGTCACATTCAGGGTTAGATTGTAATCAGAGTTTATGGACAGTCATGTTTGAGTAGCTGAACCATTACCTCGAAGGAGAGTACAGACAGAATATATATAAATCGGTTTAGATTCCAGAATTGTTATTGAAACTGTCACTCACATCTGTAAATATGAATGCCTCAGCCATTAGTTTCATGTCAAGTTAATGAATGAAAGTAATGCCTTGTCAATCATTGTATCCATGGTAATGTGTGACGCTGTACCTGCAGACAAGAGGAGCCACCACCTGGGCTCTGATGGAATCTACCTGGATGACATCACTGAGCTGGAGCCAGATGTGGCCGCTCTCTACTTCCCCAAAAGGTAACACAACTGTAACTTACACACACACACCTGTTACATACACACACATCAGTGGAGGCTGGTGGGAGGAGCTATAGGAGGACGGGCTCATTGTAATGGCTGGAATGGAATTAATGGAATGGTATCAAACATCAAATATGGAAACCACATGTTTGACTCCACCCCATATTCTATTCCAGCTATTCGAATGAGCCCGTCCTCCTACAGCTCCTCCTACCAGCCTCCACTGACACACAAATACACACACTCAACACATCCATACACACACATACCAGTAACAAACACACACCTGTTACGCACACACATACACACACTCACCTATCCTGTCCTACACACAGACTTGTCCTACACTCCTGACCCTATGACCCTGTTCCTTAGTGACGGGGGCGGTTCGGTAAGAGTGGGTGCGGAGACGGGGGTGCGGAGCGCCAACCAATCCCCTCAGTCGGTGGGCAGCAGTGAGATGGACAGCGGCGTGGACAGCTACTCTGACCAGCTGGGAGACATACCCAACATCACCATCTCCCTGTGTGGAGGTCTCACTGACAACAGAGAAATCACAAGAGGTAGGGGCTGCTAAACACATGGGCTGCATCTCAATAGTGTCTGGTTTACTTCTTGGTATAACTGAATAGGTGCAAATTGTCGCTACATCTATTTGCTGCCATATTGTTTTCAACTATCCAGTCATCTCTCCTGTCTGGGTCCTACAGAACAGTTGTATTAACCCTCTCCTGTCTGGGTCCTACAGAACAGTTGTATTAACCCTCTCCTGTCTGGGTCCTACATAACAGTTGTATTAATCCTCTCCTGTCTGGGTCCTACATAACAGTTGTATTAACCCTCTCCTGTCTGGGTCCTACAGAACAGTTATATTAACCCTCTCCTCTCTGTGTCCTACAGAACAGTTATATTCAATCAAATCAAAATGTATTTGACACATGCGCGGAATACAACAGGTGTAGACCTTACAGTGAAACGCTTACTTACAAGCCCTTAACCAACAATGCAGTTTTAAGAAAAATACGTGTTAAGTAAAAAATTGATAAGTAAATAATAAAAATAGATAATAAACAGAGTAGCACCAGCGTAAAATAGGGGGTGGGGTGGGGTGGTGGGGACAATGCAAATAGTCCGGGTAGCCATGATTAGCTGTTCAGGAGTCTTATGGCTTGGGGGTAGAAGCTGTTAAGAAGCCTTTTGGACCTAGACGTGGCGCTCCGGTACCGCTTGCCGTGCGGTAGCAGAGAGAACAGTCTATGACTAGGGTGGCTGGAGTCTTTGACATTTTTTTTTTTTTTAGGGCCTTCCTCTGACACTGCCTGGTATAGAGGTCCTGGATGGCAGGAAGCTTGGCCCTAGTGATGTACTGGGCCGTACGCACTACTTAACCCTCTCCTGTCTGTGTGTCTCTACAGAACAGTTTGAGGAGAGAGCCATCTCTTACCAGCAGTTCACGGAAAACCCCTCCATCATCGACGATCCCAACCTGGTGGTCAAGATAGGAACCAAGTATGTAAAATACCTCTAACTCTGCATCATAGCAGTGAAGATAGCAGAGATGTGATTTTTCTTGATTAATCAGGACACATTATCCTCCATTCATATGTAATTGAATCTGACCTATCCCATAGCCAAAATCCCGATTTGATATGTTGTCCTGACCACATCCCTGACAGGAAAGTATGTAATGTACAGAACATACCACTGAACACCCTTTGTGTGCAGTCAAATATAGTACTACTGATAAGAAATCTACTGTATAAACTGGAGATTAAACAATGATCATATGTCTGTGTTTTCTCCTCCAGGTACTATAACTGGACTACTGCAGCCCCTCTGATGCTGGCTATGCAGGTGTATCAGAAGCCCCTGCCATTGGTAAGACCTCCACAACATTAGCAACATGCTATTAGCATAGCATCTGGGCTACACGGCTGGTAGACTATGTGCTGATCTCAAATATAGTGCACTGTACCGGAGTGGTTTTACCTGAGGTTTATCATATGTCACATTAATCATATGGCAATGTAAAAAGAACAGTCCAAATGTAACCCATCTACCTGCTAAATCTGTGGCCCAGTTCTGCGTCTGGCCATGCATGTTTTGTTTTTGTGTGAATTCCTACATCCTCTGTCTCGTTTGAACTTCATGCACACTGGAAAGCATTCTCCTTAACCACGTGTCCTCTTAACGCTCAAGTCTTTTCCCCTTTTTGTTCCCTTCTTTAATTTGTTCTCCCTCAATCTCACCTCCCATCCGGCCCCTATTGGCCTTCAGTACTCCTGTCTGAGTTATGTGTACTCTGCCTTTGGCCTCTTCTCCTACTGTTTACCCAGTCAGTTCAGCTCCAGCCCTGTGGGTCCCTTCAGTTTCAGCTGTCTGTCTTGTCTGTCTGTCTGCTGGGTATAGCATGTCTGTCTGTCTGTCTGTCTGTCAGTCCATCCCATCTGTCTGTTGGGTATAGTATGTCTGTCTGTCCACTGTCTGTCTGTCTGCCTATTGGGTATAGTATGTCTGTCTGTCCACTGTCTGTCTGTCTGCCTGTTGGGTATAGTATGTCCACTGTCTGTCTGTCTGTCTGTAGCATATCTGTCTGTACGTCTGTCTCTCTCTATGTCTCTTTGTGTGTTTTTCCTCTCTCTCTCTCTTCTATTTCGTTCTGTCTCTTTGTCTCCCTCCCTTTGTCGCTGCCTGTCTTCGTTAGATCACCATCATCCAGTCATATGACACTAGCTTCACTTATTTGCATTTGGGTTTTTGTATCTCTGTGTTTTTGCGTTTCAGTGGTTTTGTTGAGTTGTGGTTTTGGTCAGGAACTGTGTGCGTTTGCATCAGGCCGCAGTGGAGAACATCATGAAGGAGAAGATGCCCAAGAAAGGAGGCCGCTGGTGGTTCTCATGGCGCAGCAGGAACAGCGATTCCAAATCGGTACACCCCTCAGCTCAAATACACACACCTCTGTAACACACACCATAACCAGGAAACTTCTGCAGAAGTTACAGTATTGGAGGCCTAGTTGACTGGCATATTATATTTGCTAGAATTTCCTGGTTGTTGTTGTATGAGTGTGTGACTGGTTGTTTGTCCCCAGGACTCAGTGTCTGAGACAGGACTTGGAGATGAGGGAGAGGCCTCGCTCAGCATGGCTCCAGTCAATGGGTAACTACACTTCTCTAACACCAGAAAAGTTTATAATGCGCAATATAATTTAATTATTTTGAATACACGTTTATATACCCTAGTTTACAGATCATCATATACATTATACAGAAAGGGTCGGTTTCATGGACTGATTCTCCTTTGAGTTTGCTTTTTAGTTCAGGACTAGGCTTAATCTGTGTCCGGGAAACCCCCCCTAGAAGTTTATACTACATTGTTTATATAGTGTTTAGATTCTGGTTATAAAGTCAGAAATGCATTTATAGCTGAACTGTTGTCATAACAGAATGAAGGAGGAGTCTTCCTCCAGCGATGAGGACCACAGATTGTCCAATCAGGGCTCAGAATCCTGCAAGGCCGAGCCCCTTCTTACACCCGGTAGTGTGTGCTACAGGAAGACCCTCAGACTGACCCCAGAGCAGCTGGTGAGAGACACAACACTGTTCCCCTAACATCTATTGATTTAACTTATGATCTCAGAACTGCTGATGAGAAACAATACTTCTCACCTCTTTATGTGGTGACGTTGTGTTCAGTGTGAATGGGTAATGTAGTCTTTGTGTCCTCAGGCCAGTCTGCAGTTGAACCACTCAGTAGCAGGGTTAGAGTTAGAGGGTGTATGGGTAATGTAGTCCTTGTGTCCACAGGCCAGTCTGCAGTTAAAGGAGGGTCCTAATGAGGTGGTGTTCAGTGTGACCACTCAGTACCAGGGCACCTGCCGCTGCCAGGGCACCATCTACCTCTGGAGCTGGGACGACAAGATCATCATCTCAGACATTGACGGCACCATCACCAGGTGTGTGTATGCATGCATGAGTTTTATTGGCAGTTGTGTGTGATCATGTTATATCTCTGTTAATGGTAGGTTAATGAGGTGTGTGTGTGCGCGTGCGTGCATGTGTCCTCTCTTGCAGGTCGGACACCCTGGGCCACATTCTGCCCACGCTGGGTAAAGACTGGACCCACCAGGGCATTGCCCGCCTCTACCACCGAGTCAGCCAGTGAGTTCCCACAAGAGGAATTCAATAACTATAGATGAGCATTAGAGTAATGGAACCTTGTTCACATTTAGAATAGGGCTCAATGTAAGATCAATTAACTTTATTCATGGTGTTTCAATCTACAAGGTTTAGTACGTTGCACCCTAATGAAGGCAGCCCTGTCCCCTCCCTCACTCTTAGGAAAGACTAAGAGAGGAGAATCATTAAATCTCATTCTCTTCCTCTACCTATCCCTCTATCTTTCTCTCTCTCTCTCTCGCGCTATCCCTCTCTATCCCCCTCTCTCTCTCTCTCTCTCTCTCGCTCTCTCTCTCTCTCTCTCTCTCTCTCTCTTTTTCAGGAATGGTTATAAGTTTATGTACTGCTCAGCGAGGGCCATAGGTATGGCTGATATGACGAGGGGGTATCTACACTGGGTCAACGAGAGAGGAACCATGCTGCCTATAGGACCTGTCCTACTCAGCCCCAGCAGTCTGTTCTCAGCTCTGCACAGGTGAGGAACACATACACACACACACACACACACACCATCATCACTCATCACCATCATCATCGTAAAAATAAACACAGCAGAAGCAAAAAAGAGTGAAACACAATAGTGAACAATCATATGGTAACAATAGTGAACAATCATATGGTAACAATAGTGAACAATCATATGGTAACAATGTACAGCAGCTGATGTAATAGAACTAGCTATCCCTGGATTGTATAACGATGATTCCATCCCGTCCGTCCATCCTGTCCTTGTCCTTCCTGTAGGGAGGTGATAGAGAAGAAGCCTGAGAGGTTTAAGATCCAGTGTCTGACCGACATCAAGCAGCTGTTCTACGCCAACACTGAGCCTTTCTACGCAGCCTTTGGCAACAGAGCCACGGTGAGAGCCCTGCTTTCTCCAACACTGCACATGTTACCTTAGGCTACTTTTTAGATTCATTTGTCTGGAACCATGCACAGTAATGAACCGATCTGTAAATGTGACAGATTAAGCCAAAAGGCTATTTTCAAACTGAAAATTCTGTTTGATACCGTTGCAGTTGTGGTTGTGTGTGTGTTTTTGGATAGTATGTCGGTTGTTGTTAAAGTTGTTGTTGTTTAGGATGTGTATTCCTATAAGGAGGTGGGGGTTCCCCTAAACAGGATCTTCACAGTCAACCCCAAGGGAGAGCTGATACAGGAACACGCTAAAACCAACATCTCATCGTAAGTCAGACATCTTTCTCCCTTGTATCTTTCTTCATCTGTCTTTATCTGTCTCTGTTTCTATCTCCCTCAGTAGCTCTCTCTCTCTGTCTTTGTGTCTGTCTATGAACAATGAAGTGAAGTATGTTTCTGTTTGTGTCCCTGCCAGGTATGGTGGTCTGTGTGAGGTGGTAGACCACGTCTTCCCCCTGTTGATCAGAGGCCACGTCTCTGACTTCTCCTGCCCTGACACCTTCAGCCAGTTCACCTACTGGAGAGAACAACTGCCCCAGGTCCACAGCCCCAACCAGCCCCAGGTCCACAGCCCCGACCAGCCCCAGGTCCACAGCCCCGACCAGCCCCAGGTCCACAGCCCCGACCAGCCGCAGGTCCACAGCCCCGACCAGCCCCAGGTCCACAGCACCGACCAGCCCCAGGTCCACAGCCCCGACCAGCCCCAGGTCCACAGCCCCGACCAGCCCCAGGTCCACAGCCCCGACCAGCCCCAGGTCCACAGCACCGACCAGCCCCAGGTCCACAGCCCCGACCAGCCGCAGGTCCACAGCACCGACCAGCCCCAGGTCCACAGCCCCGACCAGCCGCAGGTCCACAGCCCCGACCAGCCCCAAGTCCACAGCCCCAACCAGCCCCAGGTCCACAGCCCAGACCAGCCACAAGTCCACAGCCCGAAGTCCACAGCCCCGACCAGCCCCAAGTCCACAGCCCCGACCAGCCCCAAGTACACATCCCCGACCAGCCCCAAGTCCATAGCCCCGACCAGCCCCAAGTCCACATCCCCGACCAGCCCCGAGTCCACAGCCCCGACCAGCCCCTGGACAACAGTTGAGAAGACCCCACACCACATCAGACCACCCCAGGAGTGACCTGTGTGCAATCAGGGAAGGGAAGGGAGAGAGACGCTCATGACATGCTCAAACTCATGATGATGCAGACGTGCAAATACAAGAAGCATATGTCTGCTCTAATGCCACACTCACACACAGCTATGCAGATGCAGACCTTGCACTAGTGAAAGTGTACTTGCTACTACAACAGGCATGTTAGCACTGAGTGGTATTTCTATGTAGCCATCATTTCTATTTACTCAGTGTTGTTTTCTCTACAATACCTAGCCTACTCATACAGGGCCTACAGGTGAAAAAGGTACTACTTTTAGACACGAAGCACTGATTCAGTTGCCTGACGACTCACTGAATTCTTCCACTGCTCTATGTTCGCTACATACTTTAGTCTGAGACTGCCATAGTTGAAATCATTTGTGGTGACGTCAAAATGAGGGGTGTTGTACAAAACAAAGTAATCAGCGATTGGATAATCTCTAACCAATCAGAGTATCAAAGCCAATAACACATTTTTTAAACACTACTTTACCCACGTGTGTTCTGGCTCTGGCCCAACCCATCGGTTTCTGGGACCAATCAAAATGGTTAGAATGTAATTGTGTTCTAGAAATCATTGGGAAGGTACTCAGATCCAGACTCATTGTGGAGAAGAATCTAACGGCGTAGTGTTTAGCCAGAGCAAGGAGTTTGGGTAGCCAGACAACTGATTCAGTCAAACCGTGAAAAATCCCTGTGAAGTACAGCGTACCTGGAAAAATCACTGTGAAGTACAGCCTACCTGGAAAAATCACTGTGAAGTACAGCCTACCTGGAAAAATCACTGTGAAGTAGAGCCTATCATTGAAGCAACAGTTTCACCCAGATAACGTTGCCTGATTGATGACAGTACTTTTTGTTTTCAATGTGGGTACAGTAAAGTACAATGCACATTTGATTGAATCTCCTACATTTTCACAACAATTTAAAGTGCTAATATACTAAATGCTCAGCAATACAAGATTATTATTAACTAGCAATGAAAATATTATAGCACGTGACAATAATTGAGTTCACCTGTGAGCTCCAAACTTGTCATTATAATTAAGCAATAAGGCCCGAGGGGATGTGGTATATGGCCAATATACCACAGCTAAGGGCTGTTCTTCTGGATACAGCCCTTAGCCATGGTATGTATATTGGCCATATACCACAAACCCAGGAGGTGCCTTATTGCTATTATAAACTGGTTACCAAAGTAATTAGAGCAGTAAAAATAAATGTTTTGTCTTACCCGTGACCCACGGCTGTCAGCCAATCAGCATTCAGCGCTCTAACCACCCAGTTTATAATACGTTATAATATGTTTTTTTTAATGTTTCCATCCTAGTACATTCTTAGAGAAAAGGGTTCCAAAAGGGTTCTGCGGCTGTCCCCATAGGAGAACCCTTTTTGGTTTCCTTTTCCACAGAGGGTTCTACCTGAAACCAAAAAGGGTTCTATCTGGAACCAAAAGGGGTTCTTCAAAGGGTTCTCCTATGGGGACAGCCGAAGAACCCTTTTTGGTTCTAGATAGTGTAGTAGCATTCCATATTAGGGTTTTATTCTTCAGTTTCTGGTCATGTTCTGTGTAAGGTAAATATGTTACTGATCAACTGAACTTAAACAGATAACCAGTGTAGCTCTTCACTTCCCTTTATTAACAAGGCGCAGAGGAGGGTTTCCTCTCTCATTGATGTCTCTCACCCATAGTCATCAATAGTCCTTTGATGTTAATTTAACACTTCAGAATAGACATATCTAAAACAGTCTGATAATAAGAAACGCAAGGAAACTCAGGTTGTTTCACTCTGTTTCTATGGACAGTGACACATATAACATATCATATTCTCACTGTGTGCACTGTGCAGAGTCATTGTTTTGGCTACTGTTATGATCACTGTATAGCCTACTAGTCCGGTCACATCAGTCAGGTGTGTGACTGAGCTCTTTTTTGGGGGGTACTATGTTGCAGACAATAGAAAACATGTAATGTAATTTGCTTTGGTTGTTAAACTGTAATTGCGAGATGAGAGAAACCTACTAATTCATGAACTATTACATGAACTTATCATTTTTAAGAAGCAGCTTGTGAACGCACTTGGATTTGGCCTTTGATTTTATTTAATTTTATATATTGTGTTTATGTGATTGAATATGAATAGAGTATTGATGTTCATTCTCACTTTTGTATATAGTGCAGTGATGTCTAGTGATCAAATTCAGAAAACAACGTTTTTGTCATTTAGTGGCTGGCTGCTGGACTACAGTAGTTTGACCTAAAATGGCTAACAACATTTTGCACTGACTATAGTGTCCACTGAAGCAAAGTCATTGAGGAGTTCTTCTACAGTAAAAATGCAATATTCTCCTGAATTCTAGAATCTATTACTAAGATACAAATAACTTATATAGATTACAACAAACACTGATGTTCCTTGTAATTTCAGCCATTAGAATGCCCAATAACCTTGAATATTCTAAACCTCCTCAAAGGGTTAAAAGCAAAAAGCACTAACAACAGAGTCCATCAGTCAGTCCATCAGCCAGTCCATCATTCCATCCTTTCTCTGTTGTTATCAGAGGAGGTGGTAGTATGTTTATAGGAGTGGCAGCCATGTAATGTGTATCTAATGTGTATATGGTGCAATTGCCAATGTTATCCTGTATGTAGTATGGATGAGTTCAACACCTAAAATGCAAGACATCCTGTATTACCTGAATGAGTACTAACTCTGTAGTATTTCTCTCTTTTTCTATTGATCATATTGATGACCACTACAAACCTGATCACATCACTGTGAAGGAGAGAAGGTTCTCACTGTCCCAATGTACCATATTGATTTCAATAAGTTTGAATTTATTGGCTAGATGTCTTTAATTGGCTGGTTAAAACATCCATTGCCATTCCCCTGGTCATGGGTGAGGTTTCTAGGATAAAATAAAGGTATTTCAGAATATTGAGACATAGAGACTAACGCGAGCTGTTGGACTCACCGTCGACCTAAGAGGTGTGTTGGTATTTGGAGGAGCTGTAATGGATGGATGGATGGATGGATAGGTGGGTGGATGGATGGGTGAAAGTAGGCATGTGATATCACTGTTGCATTCACTTGTCTTGTCCTGTGTGTCATTGTTTCCTCTTGTCCCCTTACTGTATTGTCACACGATTTGTTCCAAGTATGTTGAAGTACTACTGTGTATTCTGGTTAAGCAGACTGACTGTGTTCTTTCTGTGAAAGATCCATATGAACAAAGAGCTTATGTCTTGGCTGTCTGCCCTCTTTAGTTTGTTGGCTGTATTGAGCTGTTCCCTCAGTGTGTTGTTCCCTGTCCTCAGTGTGTTGTTCTCTGTCCTCAGCGTGTTGTTCTCTGTCCTCAGCGTGTTGTTCTCTGTCCTCAGTGCAGCGTTAGTGTTCCGCAGCTCCTCCACATCCAGCTGTAGGGCTCTCAGAGAGCAGCTCAGCTCTGAGACAGGGTCCACTGTCTGCAACACACACATGCAACCGTGCGCACACACCAGGTCTCTTCATCCCTCTGGAGTCATCCTCACTCCCTCCAAAGACGACACCAGGTCTCTACATCCCTCTGGACAGGAAGGTATCAGGTGTTACCCTGGTACACATGCATGCATACAGTATGAATGCAGTATTAGTCCCAGGCTTATCCTTACTACCTGGGCCCAGGTTTACTAGGATTAGCCTTACTATCCTGTTGATTTGGCTCAGTACTCCAACACTTTGGATTTGAATTAATACAATGACTATGAGGTTAAAGTGCAGAATGTTAGCTTTAATTTGAGGGTATTGTCATCCATATCGGGTGAACCGTTTGGAAATTACAGCACTTTCTGTAATTGGATTTGAATTAATACAATGACTATGAGGTTAAAGTGCAGACTGTTAGCTTTAATTTGAGGGTATTGTCATCCATATCGGGTGAACCGTTTGGAAATTACAGCACTTTGTGTACATGGTCCCCCCATTTTAGGCGACCAAAAGTATTGGGACAAATTCACTTATGTGTATTAAAGTAGTCAAAAGTTTAGTATTTGGTCCCATATTCCTAGCATGCAATGATTATACCAACAGCTTGTTGGTTGCATTTGCTGTTTGTTTTGGTTGTGTTTCAGATTATATTGTGCCCAATAGAAATGAATAGTAAATAATGTATTGTGTCATTTTGGAGTCACTTTTATTGTAAATAAGAATATAATATGTTTCTAAACACTTCTACATTAATGTGGATGCTACCATTATTACGGATAGTCCTGAATTAATTGTGAATAAAGATGAGTGAGAAGGTTACAGATGCACAAATATACCCCACAAAAATGCTTTCCTCCCCTGTTATTGTAATGGTGAGAGGTTAGCATGTCTTTGGGGTATATTTGTGCGTCTAACTTTCTCACTCATCATTATTCACGATTATTCACTAATCATTATTCTCCTGCTCCAGGTCATGACCCCCCCCCCCCCCCCCCCAGAATTAGATTAGATGACATCATTCAAGTTATGCTTTAGCGTTCATCGACTACTCAATACAAACAGTAAAACATTAAATTCACATTTTATATTTTTCTCACAAACACAAGAAAAAATACATTGGTTTTGGGGGACGTTGATATATTTCCAGAAGAACATCATGAATTGGAGTATGAGCAAATTATGTTAATCCCAGCGTTAGAAATGTTGCCGCATTGACATGTAGGTCATGCCTGATTAAGAAATCTATTACAGAATTTAGCCATCAGGATTAAAGGTGTAATCTTGTGTTTGTCTAACCATCACCTTGTGTCGCTCCTGACTCATCTGGTTAGCCTCAGCCACCATGGGCATCAGTTTGATGTAGTCATAGAGCACAGCCAGGAGACTGGTGTCACCTAAAGGGGGAGACAGAGAGAGGATATACACAATCACCTTCTCTCTCTCTGAGTCACAGTAATATCTAATATCTATAGATATCTCCCCCCCCCCAATAAATGTTATTTTAACCCCTAACCTTTA